GTTGGCAACTAAGTAATTGCCGATTTCAGTTACAGATGTCTCTCACTCCCATTTTTATGATATCCGTAATTGTTATGTTATAAAATTATTGTTATTATTATTATTGTGTTATTTTTTATTATCCGTGAATGTTAGCAACTGGACAAATTGAATGCAGCGCTCAAGGAAAAGCGAGCAGAATTGGTCAATCGTAAAGGTGTCATTTTCCAGCAGGACAATGCAAGGCCGCACGCGTCTTTGTCCACTCGGCAAAAATTGATGAATATTGATTGGGAATTGATGTTACACCCACCATATAGCCCTGATCTCGCGCCATCGGATTACCACTTATTTTGATCCCTGGACAACTCCCTTCGTGGTAAAACTTTTAATGATGATGACGCTGTAAAATCTCACTTAACTCAGTTTTTGGCCGAAAAGGGTCAGACTTTCTACGAGCGTGGAATTTTCAAGTTGTCAGACAGATGGCAAAAGGGTCATCGAACAAAATGGAAAATACATTACAGATTAAATTTCATTCTAAGTAAAAAAAACTTTTTTATTTCATTGAACAAATCGGCAATTACTTAGTTGCCAACCCAATATTTTGATTCATAGTTATTTGCATGCCTGTTGTCTGTTCTGAAATAACATTGCTTGAAATATTATTTCAAATAACGTGTCATTTTATTTTATAATTATTTTAAATAATTGTGAAATTCAATTTAATGTTTGGGCCTGGTTTACATCTTTTTGCTTTAAATATATTCTTGTGTGTGTGTAAAAATTTTATAATATAAAAGCTTTTCCTTTGTGAAGAAAGCGTTGCTGATTATTTATCATTGCTGATTATTTCGTGGATTATTTCTTTTTGAAGCAAAATCTTTTCGTCCATTATTATTTTCAGCATTATTATATCTTTTTTTTTACCAATGTGAAAGGCAGAAATAACAGAGTAATTTATTATTTGCTTAATTTCGAATGAATCGAAATTATTTTTATTTTCAAATAACATTTGCCCCAAAAAAAAAGAGAGAGAGAGAGGTCTGGGTACGGTATAACAAACCAAAGGGTGAAGCAGATGTACAGTGATGTACGCCCCCGGCCACTAGTACGTGGACACTTACCACTTTTAATGAAAAAGTGATATACAATATGAACTAACGCTGCAAAACGATGTATGTCGGCAAACTCTGTTTCAGATATACATATACCCCGTGACATGGTGGTATTAAATTGAGTGATTTAATTATTTAAGTCCTTTAAGTAATTAAAAGTTTAAGCGGCGGATTAAGATTGCACTATGTCACCCCGCGTGCGGTTGTTCGTCGAGGTTTCCTTATCTCGCACTTCCGTGAATATTAGAAGCCGAATGGGAGAATATTTCTTCGGATATAATGGAAAAATTGATAGCTAGAATGTTAAAATTAGTAAAAACGGTTTCAAGAGTACGCGACGGGTACATCGACGAAAAGAATATGCGAAATTCAATTCTATTTCATTTGTGTGTGTGTTTGTAGCGGTATCTTGCAAGTTTATATAAACGCAAAACCTTGACGGTAATGTTAAATAAATAAAGATCACGTTAATTTTGAAGTGTGCGATTTTTTGTCACGGAGTGTAATACTGAAAAGTATCCATTAATTATATTTACAAATAATATAATAAAAAAAAATAAAAAGAACACGTGCCTGTGAGTGTTGTTTTCGTTTCATATCGTTCGGTCATTCAGTAGCCATCCTGTGGATAAAGATCCGCGATCTAATGATCGCTAATGGGAGTCCGATGTGAATGCGATTTTCAACTGAAGTAATTCAAATAACTTCGAACGAAATGGAATCTCATAGAAACGTTCTCGAACGGTATTTTCGGGACAAGCTGGGACATTTCTTTTCCAATAATTCAAGTGTGTAAATGTCTGGCGGATAAACAGTCACTCGGATGAGCCGTGGTTTCGGGTGACAATCACTCTAAATTGAGGTCAGACCACCACTTTAAATTCTCTAAATCCTTTGACATATCAGTTTCCATCGTTAAAAGGATTACCGATAGCGCGGATCGTCGAATGCAAGGGTATTTGAAATTAAAACCGGGGAAAATAATCGTTGGCAGTTCGACAATGGGCGCGGAAAGGCGATCCAAAGGTATCGTATGCCAAACAATACGCGAACGCGTTAGTCTGACGAGTGTTGGCGTTACAAGATCTACAAAGTGCACAATCGACGTTGTAAAATGATTCAACCGATTCGGCTCGTTGTGATGGAATCCGAAACAAAACCGGCCGTGGAAAACGTTAAAAGGGCATTTTTGCTTCGACGGGGAAAATGTTACTTTCAATTAGATTAACGTAAAATATGGCTCTTCGAAAATTCGCACGCAGCATTTTATTCCGAACGAAACAAGAAAATTGCGAGAAATAACGTTCACGTTTGCGCTAATAATTTCGAAATGAAACGAATCGAATAATCAGGTGACCAAAATCACTTCTGATCAGAGATAAGAGATTTTGTTAAAAGGAGAAGCTCGTCTACAAAAATAATTATCACGAGCATTAATTCGCCCTGTCAGAATTCGTTAAAAATAATTCTACATTCAACAATTTCTCTCTTGACAATTATAATATTTTCGGAAGGTACGATATTTCAGCGATATTTCGGTAACTAGTAATTATTAAGTTAATTATTTCAAGCTGTGATAAATGAAAAATAGTCTTGCAGAATTTGTACTTTTCATGTAGAAATGCTACATGAAATTAATGATTTCTTGAGAAATAATCGTTATATAGAAAATGCGAAATCTAGTTGTGTTCAATGATATCTGAAACCTGATGTATTATAATTCAGAAAAACCTATCTCCGAAGTCAACCGAAGATGAAATCGGTGTCGAAGGTTTAATCATCTCTTTCGTATTTCAGTATTTCATTCTTTCGCTTTTAAAGGTGCGAACGAACGTGACAATCACTACACGCACTTTTGTTATACGAAGTGGCGAATATATCAACGTCGTTTTACAAACGTAACATTGAATTTTTCTGTCAGTATTCGCAAAGATGTCTATCCAGTGAAACTCGTTTAACCGGTATCGATCGTAAACTTGGTAATTAGCGAGGCATTTTACTCGCTTTATTAAATACTGACAGATTGTTAAACCTCGAGAAACGTCGAACAGCCATCAGGTTATCGCGCGATTCAATTCCCCGAGAAATAAAGTAAACAGCTAGTCTAACTACTTAACAACCAATCGGGTCTATGTTCTTTCATCTTTATTATATTCGAGAATAAAGGAGTACATTGCTGTCTTCTTTGATATAAAATGATCATCCTTTAATGTTTAAAATCTGAACAAATTATTATACAGGGTGTCCCAGGTTTTAATGTTCAAACTTTGTCAGTATATTCTATGGCACAAAGTAAGAAAAAAATGTTATGCAAACATAGGTCATATAGAGCCTGTCTCTTATACACATCTAGATGTGTATAAGAGACAGGCTCTATATGACCTATGTTTGCATAACATTTTTTTCTTACTTTGTGCCATAGAATATACTGACAAAGTTTGAACATTAAAACCTGGGACACCCTGTATATCTATATAATTATTATTTATATCTATATAATTATTAATAATTATATAGATATAAATAATAATTATATAGATATACAGGGTGTCCCAGGTTTTAATGTTCAAACTTTGTCAGTATATTCTATGGCACAAAGTAAGAAAAAAATGTTATGCAAACATAGGTCATATAGAGCCTGTCTCTTATACACATCTAGATGTGTATAAGAGACAGGCTCTATATGACCTATGTTTGCATAACATTTTTTTCTTACTTTGTGCCATAGAATATACTGACAAAGTTTGAACATTAAAACCTGGGACACCCTGTATATCTATATAATTATTATTTATATCTATATAATTATTAATAATTATATAGATATAAATAATAATTATATAGATATACAGGGTGTCCCAGGTTTTAATGTTCAAACTTTGTCAGTATATTCTATGGCACAAAGTAAGAAAAAAATGTTATGCAAACATAGGTCATATAGAGCCTGTCTCTTATACACATCTAGATGTGTATAAGAGACAGGCTCTATATGACCTATGTTTGCATAACATTTTTTTCTTACTTTGTGCCATAGAATATACTGACAAAGTTTGAACATTAAAACCTGGGACACCCTGTATATCTATATAATTATTATTTATATCTATATAATTATTAATAATTATATAGATATAAATAATAATTATATAGATATACAGGGTGTCCCAGGTTTTAATGTTCAAACTTTGTCAGTATATTCTATGGCACAAAGTAAGAAAAAAATGTTATGCAAACATAGGTCATATAGAGCCTGTCTCTTATACACATCTAGATGTGTATAAGAGACAGGCTCTATATGACCTATGTTTGCATAACATTTTTTTCTTACTTTGTGCCATAGAATATACTGACAAAGTTTGAACATTAAAACCTGGGACACCCTGTATATCTATATAATTATTATTTATATCTATATAATTATTAATAATTATATAGATATAAATAATAATTATATAGATATACAGGGTGTCCCAGGTTTTAATGTTCAAACTTTGTCAGTATATTCTATGGCACAAAGTAAGAAAAAAATGTTATGCAAACATAGGTCATATAGAGCCTGTCTCTTATACACATCTAGATGTGTATAAGAGACAGGCTCTATATGACCTATGTTTGCATAACATTTTTTTCTTACTTTGTGCCATAGAATATACTGACAAAGTTTGAACATTAAAACCTGGGACACCCTGTATATCTATATAATTATTATCTATATCTATATAATTATTAATAATTATATATCTATCATACAAAATACCTATAAAAAAAATCAAGTAGAGAATGTCTCCGTAATTACAGATTTTTATAGTTAAACATTGTAATAGATTTTTACTTAATTTACTACACCCTATTCAACTGTAGAATTCAATTTTATCTATTGCAATTAAAAAACTCAATGCGACCTCCATATTTGGAGAAAAAGTGAAATAATTATTGATATCGTAAAAACTTTTCGGTGAACCATTTTTCTGTGCAACAAACAGTTCACAAGCAATTTGGATAGAACAATTCAATGAAGTGAGATAATAAACTTATGGGATGACATAATACTAATATTGAGTCACTGTAAATGTTTGTGTCCGATTTCAGTGATTACTAAATAATCATTACTATGTCATCAGACATGTCTGAAAAATCGTGCTAACAATATTAAGTTTCCTGGAAATTTCTTTCCAAATAAAATTTACTTTTTATGTTATTAACAATTCGATAACCTTTTGTACAAAAGTGGTCCGGAATCGATCACTATTAAACAGTTTCTCGAAACCTTCCCCACAGTTGATACTGTTAAAAGTTTATACCGTTTGTATATATTTGTATATGCATTCAAAAATGTTTAAAACAAGATCGCATGCTTGAAATACATGTGCTAACACATATAAAATCATAATTAGAACCTATTTTCTAATGTTCTAAAATTCTATAAATGTAACAAGTCTCGTTTTACTTTAAATTTTATGATTTTGTACGCATGATTGTTGATTTGTACGCATTTATAACAAAAATGAAACGAACAAATGCAAAACATAAAGCCATTGAAAGAATTTAAGAATATTGTTACATTACTTTTAATTTATTGCGATTATGAAAGGAAGAAAGACAATCAACTTAGACAATTTTGGTTTTACATACAAATCGACTTAAAGTGTTGCCAATTTACAGAAAACAATTTTTTTCCGATATATTAGACATTAAAATTGAATTTACTGAATAGAGAACAGCATCATTATTAGACTGCGTATTTTTATGCAAAATAAAAATGTTCTGCATATGCAGCAAAATACAGAAGGTATAGAAATATTCATTTGTTTTTTTAAACAGTATTTTTAAGTTCTAAATGTTCATTCTATTTTGTATTCGAGCCACTCGTTTTTGTCACAAATGCATAAAATCCGCGATTTAATCAGAATTAATAACTCAATACTTTAGCGATACCTATTGAAATCGAGCACGCACTTTTTCACCGACTCAATATACGAATAATTCCGTCATACCTTCGTTGTTTTGCTCCGTACTTGCTACGGAAGTTTCTTCCGTACTTCTGGCTTGCTGCTCCTGTTGAACTTCAGATGAGCCGGAGTCCGACTGAACTGGTGTCGGACTCGACGAAGATGCTTCTCCTGCTGTGTCGGACACCCTGGTGTCCAATGTTTCCTGCGTTTCTGAAGATTCCGCTGCAGTCGCACCGTTCACCAGTGTCGGGCTTGTTCTGGAATTCGACCTGGAGATCGTCCTGGAGCTCACCCTGGTGGTCTCCATAAAGCTCACCCTTTCTGCCCATTGAATCCTGCTGGACTGCCGGTTGTTGTGGAAGACAAGGTTCTGCAACTGCGCCTGTTGCAGGATCACAGGTAGCTCGTAATGGTGAAAGAAGTACACCATCGAGTGCTGAAACCAGAACAGAATCGGGATCGTTCGTTAATTACACTGTTTAATACCGATCATGTATTTCGATTATCGATGAAGTGACATATGAGTGAGAAACAATGAATACTATGGTTATATTATATTATAATATATTATAATATATAATATTATAATATATATAATATATAATAATATATAATATGTAATATAATATTATAATATATTATAATATATAATTTTATATATTTATATAATATATAATATATAATTTTTATTATTATAATAAATTATAATATATAATATTATATTATAATATATTATAATATAACATGTGTATTATTTGCTGATCAACATTGTTAAGATAATTTAGAGTTAAGTTAATTTATAGTAACTTTATAATTTATTTCACTTGTTTTTTTTAACATTACCGAATGAATAGATTACGTTTTAAAACACAAGTTAAAATTTTCGAAAATGGGACTTACGCCACTCTGATTCTAACTCGTTGACCATGGCAGTGGCCTAAGTCACGGAACCAAAAAAGTTGAGATTTTCATTTAGTATTACGTCGTATCAACTATACTTCATTATTATGTAAGATATATGTTTATCGTGAGGTAAGAGCAATAGGTAAATAATACTTTCAACAATAAAAACATACTTTTTAAGTTTTCTCAACGAAATCGTTAACTAGAATATACTGCTAATTTCGAAGCTAAAAAACGTTTCTATTTATTTTGAAGAAAGTTGAAAGAACATCATTCTTTGTAACTTCATTCTTTGTACTTTTCGCAGAAAGTATAGACATCGTCCAGTAAACTAGTCCCTCGAATAACTCGAAAAACTTCGCATCCTTCGGTCCAATTTGTAAAAAGTTGTTCCGTATACAGATGAAAAAGTGAAGTCAATGCAATCAAGAATTTTTGATTTGCAGATCAACACGAGTGAATCCGAAAATGCCGAACGAGAAAATATCAGATGATGAAACAGCGACTAGTACTAAAATCTCTAAAATTTGAATTATTTATTTTCCATTTCACAAATACCTAACAACAATTAAGTATCGATGGAGAGTATTCCGATTTTTATGGAAAGACTGGTCAATCCGGTCGCACCGGACAGCCGCAGATCTCTAAAAATTTTCCGCAAGAAAACAACGGAGAAATTGTTGGAAATTGCAGTTTGTTAAAACAAACATAGGATTGCTTATTGATAGATCTAATAACAGCGGCGCCGCAACTGCCGTCGAAGGCGTTACACAAAGCCGGTGCCGGTGTATATACACATATAACCTCGACGATATCACTTGTTTCCACGAACGGCGTGTATGTCGCTCGTGGCCAGCAAATTTATATGGAAATCCACCAAATTTGTTCTATACCGTTTCTCTCGTTCTCTTCGCACCCTTCGGAAACCCACGCGGCAATCTGACTTTCCTTCTCCCTCTTCGATTTGCTACCGAACACGCCGCCGATCCCAATACCCTTATTCACCGTAGTTGCAAACGGTCTACACGCACATGTGGGGTATGAATAATTTCCCTCTCGCCGCGCGGCGAACAAAGAAATTTCGGAAATTGTTGAAACAAGGCTAAAACAACCGTGCCTCTATCGACATTCTAATTGCACAACTAATCAACGGATGTAGACGCGCATACAATTTCATTGTTTTATTATATTTCCAGTTCCCAAGAAAATTCGTGGATGTTCCATTTTTTTTCTGCATTAATTGAGATAGTTAGTGAGTGTTTTATTTTACTTTCCACTATTAGGTAAAATAATTAGTGGGTGTTTTATGTTATTCTCTATATTAAGTAAGATGTTTCATTTTATTTTCTATAATCGGTAAAATAATTAGCGAGTTTCATTTTATTTTATACACTTAAGATAATTGGATGTCTGATTTTATCCTATACATTAAGTTATTTAACTAGTGAATGCTTCATTTTATTTTCTATGATCGGTAAGATAATTAATGGATGTTTGATTTTATATTTTATACAGTTATTAAGACAATTAGTGTATGTTTGATTTTATTTTATACATTAAGTTACTTAATTAGCGGATGTTTAGTTTTACATCCTGCGTTAGGAAGTTTTGTTTTCTAAATTCGTGGACAATTTATTTTAATTTTCACGGTAGGCAATTTATTCCATTCGCTACACTGACCAAATTGACTAACGTTATTTCAATAAACACATTTCAAATTATACATGCATTTTGTAAATTTCGAATTTTAGTAGTCACGTATAGCGTATATTCACAATTATGCTGCGGACTTTATGCATTTATGACACAAGCGAGTGGGAGCAATTTAAAAGTGTGGACAAATTAAAATAAGCGGAGGTTTCGTAATTAATACTATTAAATAAATTTAATGCTATTACTCAACTTGTTGAAATTATTTAAAAAAGGATTAAATCTCGTAATCTGACACCAATCTCGTATAATTGGTATGGATAATTTTTATTTTGCACAAAGATCGAAATTAAAAATCGTAATTTAATCCAACTTAATACAAGTAAACGATTCTTATGATATTATTTAAAACTAGCGTGTGCGGAAGTAGTACCTTAAACAATATATTAGAAAAATAGAATAAATAAAATGACACAATCCTAAGCATACCGAGTCACATTTTCGTCGCATCGTCAATATTTGGGTGACGGAATAATTTGCTCATATTTGACAATTAATTTTTACGCTGAACTATTATATATTCCTAATATCATTAGAATCCGCAAAATGCAAGATCGTTGAAAGAGTAATTCACGTCACACAACGTAACTATTAAATTTTAATATTACAAACTTTACCAAAAATTGTTGTATCGCGTTTCAAAATAAATTTAACAGTATCAAATTTCTTTACATTCGAAAACAACTGTTAAAAGCGTAACCGTTGCACGAGTCGCGAAAATTTAATTCCATACGTATCAAACGCATCAAGTTGTATAAAATAGAAATAGGTCGGAAAAACTATTTTCGATTTCGAGTTAAAATTGCTCCGACTGCAAAGGGTTAATATCGCGAAATTTTTGAGCTTGCGGTGTGCCGGCGAAACTGTTAACCAATATTGTCCAGGGATCCGCAACAGTACGCACGTGTTCGAAATCGATACTGGAACGAAGTAGAAATCCAGCGACGGCTCGCGTCGCGAGCGTCAACGGCCAGAGAAGAGTCCAGTTCGGAGATATGTCCGAAAAAAGAGAAAGAGAAAAGGAAGAAGACGCGGAACAGGAGGGGAAAATAATAATAAAACAACGTCGAAATGAAACGCGCAAACCGATGGCTCGAGCGCGGACGGTGAAAACGGCAGCAAGAAAGAAAGGAAGAAAGAGTGAACGGAGAGAGGCTGAATATGGAAAATAGATATCTCGAGACCGAGCACCTGTCGTCGACATGAAGGAAATGGTATCCACGGTGATTCGTCGGGTATACCGGAACGAATCTGCATCGTTTCAGAAAAAGAAGACGACTCTCCTCGGGACCGCGGGTGGATCAGAGGAGTTGGATCTCCTCGGGGTTGGGGGACGAGGCCAACAGAAATAGAGGACGGCGACAGGGAGGACGAGGACCGGCGATGAGTCCGTCGGCCGTTGAAAAAGGAAACGGTAGCCGGGTTAAAATGATGGCTACGACGAAACAAGTTACCGAGGAAATCGGATTTTCGTTTGCTGGATAATCAACGCCGATGACATCGATATCGGCCGGCATATAATCACGCCGCGGGGCTAATCGCCTGAACTCTGACCATACGGAAAAGGGACGCGGAATAGAGAGCGGCGATGGCCACTAGAAAAAGATAGAGAATGACAGGCAGAGAGAGAGAGAGAGAGAGAGAGAGAGAGAGAAAGTGAATAAAAGAGATAAAGGAAGAAAGCGGGAATAATAATAACAATAATAATAATAATAATAACCGTACTATAGATAAACTCTCCCTAAGATAATAGGAAACAACGTACATAAACAACAAACTAACAATAATAAAAATAATAATAATAACCGTACTATAAATACACTCTCCTTAAGGTGATAGAAGACAACATAAATAAAATATACTGCAAGAACTCCATATTCGCTGATAAAACAACGGTTAGAAGTGAGAAAAGAGAGAGGAAGAACGGAAAGAGAGTGTAAAAGAGAATGAGAGAGAACGAGAGAGTGAGAAAAAAGAGCGAAAGATAGAGAGGGAAAGAGTAAAAAATAGAATGCAAATGAGGAAGCGAGACAGAGGGAGAACGAGACTGAGAAAGATAGAGAGAAGGAGAAAGGAAAAAAGAAAAAGAGCCGAAGATAGAGTGAAAAATGAAGAGATGGAAAGATAGAGAAAGAACAAAAAATGGAGAGAAAATAAGAGAACGAACAGAAGATAGAGTGAAAAATGGAGAGAGATAGAAAATTAGAGAAAGAACGAAAAATTGAGAGAGAAATAGAAAACAAGCAAAAGATAGAGTGAAGAATGGTGAGAGATGGAAAGATAGAGAAAGAACGAAAAATGGAGATAATATAAGAGAACGAACAGAAGACAGAGTGAAAAATTGAGAGAGATAGAAAATTAGAGAAAGAACGAAAAATAGAGAGAAAAAGAGAAAACAAGAAAAAGTGAGTGAAAAATGAGATGGAAAGATAGAGAAAAAACGAAAAATAGAGAGAATATAGAAGAACGAACAGAAGATAGAGTGAAAAATGGAGAGAGATAGAAAATTAAAGAACGAAAAATAGAGAGAGAAAGAGAAAACAAGCAAAAGATAGAGTGAAAAATGGTGAGAGATGGAAAGATAGAGAAAAAACGAAAAATAGAGAGAATATAGAAGAACGAACAGAAGATAGAGTGAAAAATGGAGAGAGATAGAAAATTAGAGAAAGAACGAAAAATAGAGAGAAAAAGGGAAACAAGCAAAAGATAAAGTGAAAAATGGTGAGAGATGGAAAGATAGAGGAAGAGTGAAAAATACAGAGAAAATGAGAGAAAGAGCGAGAGATAGAGGGGAAGAGAAAGAAAGAGGGAGAGAATAGCGAG